CGGGGCGGGCGCGGAGCGCCCGCGGGCGAGGGTTTGGGGTTTAGGGTTTAGGGTTTAGGGTTTAGGAGCGCCTGGCTGCGGATTCGGGCTTGGGGTTTAGGGTTTAGGGTTTAGGGTTTAGGGTTTAGGGTTTAGGGTTTGCGTGCAGGAGGCGGAGTCTCTGTATTTGCGCTCGCCCTTCCTGCCTTCTCCTTTGCGGCCCTCAGACCACATCTCTCTCTTTGCGAGGTTCAAATGGCTTGGCGACTAAACCCTAAACCCTAAACCCTAAACCCTAAACCCTAGGCCTGCAGGCCCGCCAAACCCTAAACCCTAGGCCCTGAGGGTCGTCCCGTTTGGCGATTTTTCGTTTGCAAGTTTGCGGTGTCTGAACACCCGTTGGGGCTTGGGGCGCGGCGTCCGCCGCAAACCCTAAACCCTAAACCCTAAACCCTAAACCCTAAACCCTAGTTTTTGAGGGGCCGTTTTCTCTTTTCGTCGGGAGCCCGAGGGTTTCCCCTGGAGTAAAACCCTCGCAGCAGCTGCACTGCTTCGGCCTGCAGCAGCCCGGAGCAGCAGCTGAGGGTTTGGAGGGCGGCGCGAGGGTTTGAGGGTTTAGGGTTTAGGGTTTGGGGGCCGCAGGGTTTAGGGTTTAGGGTTTGGGGGCGGTAGCTGTGCACGCGCAGCACCGAGCCGCAACCCCCAAACCTGCTGTTCATACACCCGAAGTAAACCCTAGATAAACCACAAACCCTAATTCCGAAGCAGCACATAACGCAGGGTTCGCAGGTGACAAAGAGACACAAAGAAGACAAAACCCTTGCTGCAGCAGCAGACACTTGCTGCGCAACCCAAACCGCCACCTGCTGCTGCTGCTGCTGCTGCTGCTGCTGCTGCTGCTGCTGCGGGGCGGCGGCGGCGGCGCTCGCGGGGGCGCCGGGGGCGTCCTGGGCGGGCTGCTGCTGCTGCTGCGGAGCCGGGGCCTCCTGCTGCTGCTGCTGCTGCTGCTGCTCTTCCTGCTGCTGCTGCTGCTGCTGCTCTTCCTGCTGCTGCTGCTGCTGCTGCTGTGGGTTTTGTTGGGGGGTGCGTGGGCAGCTGGAGTTCGGGGCTGGGGGCGCGTCCGCAGGCCGAGGGTTTAGGGTTTGCTGCTGGCTAGGGTTTAGGGTTTGCTGCTGACTAGGGTTTAGGGTTTGCAAGAAGCGGTCAATGGCCACAATCTCGCAGTGTCTGCTGCTGCTGCAGCACTTATTAGTTTCATTTCGCCCGCGGCTGACAATCTTTTTGCTGCGGGGGCAAACGAGGACACACCCCACAGGCACTTCTGCTGCTGCTGCTGCTGCTGCTGCTGCTGCTGCTGCTGCTTCCTTTGCTGCTTCCCCCATGAAGTACAGCAGCTGCGCAGGCACCCGTCGCAGCAAACTCTTTTGACTATTTTAATTTATTTATTTTTAATTTAATTAATTTATTTCTCAATAATTAATTAATTAATTAATCCTTCTGCAGCTTTGTAATAATTAGTTTTAGTCCCAGCAGCAGCAGCAAACGCAGCAGCAGACAGAACAGCGAGAACTGCAGCAGCAGCAGCAGCAGCAGCAGCAGCAGCAGCAGCAACAGCAGCAGCAGCAGCAGCAGCAGCAGCGACTGCAGCAGCAGCAGGTGTCTGTACACCTCAGCTCGCTCACCTCCTCTTGGGTGAATTCTTCTTCCTCCATGTTTGGGGTTGCCATTAATTTGAAATGACAAAAAGATAATTTAAATCAAAATAAATAAAAAGAAACAAAATAAACAGAATCAATTTAATTCAGCTTTCTTCCCGACTTGCTGCTGCTGCGCAGCAGCAGCAGCAGCAGCAGCAGCAGCAGCAGCAGCGGCAGCAGCAGCAGCAGCAGCAGCGTCCAGAAAAGCGGGAAAATGGTCAAAATTTGCGGATTTGAAGCCTTTTGAACTCCAAAATGATTTATTTAATTGAAATTATTCATTTAAATGTCAAAAAGTATTTATTTTTTCATTTAAAAATGAAAAAAGGAGAAAAATTGACCCAAAAAATCCACTTTTCCAAATCCTCAAATTTCCCGCAACTCCGCGTCCAGACGCCCAAACGCAAACTCCCGCCCGCCCGCCTGCAGCAAATTAAATTAAATTAAATTAAATTAAATTAATTTAATTTAATTTAATTTATTTTGTTTTATTTAATTAATTTAATTTAATTTAATTTAATTTAATTTAATTAGTTTGACTTGATTAGTTTAATCTAATTGGATTAAATTGTTTTGATTTGATTTAATTGAATTAGATTTAATTGATTTAATCTGATTTGGTTTGATTTAATTGCATTTAAATTTAATTAGTTTGATCAGTTTGATTTGATTTAATTTAATTTAATTTAATTTAAGTTAATTTGATTTAATTTAATTTAATTTGATTTAATTTAATTCACCCGGTTTGATTAAATCAATTTGAGTTAATTTATTTTATTTAAATGAACCAATTAAATGTAATATTGATTTAAAATAAATAAAATGAATAATAAAACAAACAAATAAAATAAATGAATTAAAAGTAAACTAGCCAAATAATAATAAATAAATAAATAAGCAAATAGTTAATTGAAATAAATAAACAAAATAAATAAATGATCAATTGGTTAAAATAAACGAATAAAACATATAAAATAAATAAACAAATAGATTAATTAATTAATTAATTAATTAATCAAACGAACTAATTACTTAATTAATCAATTAACCAATTAATTAATTAATTAATTAAATTAGCATAAACAAACAAATAAATAACAATAAAATAAATAATAAAATAAATAAATAAATAAATAAATAAATAAATAATAAAACGAACTTTTATAATTCCGTCTTTAATTACAAAACTCCAATTCAAATTTCTCTCCGCCGTTAAAGGCCTGGACACATCTGCGGGCCTGGAGACCTGAAAACAAAATAAATAAATAAATAAATAAATAAATAAATAAATAAATAAATAAATAAATAAATAAATAAAATAATAAATAAATAAATAAATAAATAAATAAATAAAACAAATTAATTAATTAATTAATTATTAATGGCATTTAATTTGATGGGCTTAGTTTTTAAACGAAAAAATTTGAACAAGTGCAGCGCGAGAAGCGCCGAAGCAGCTAGGGTTTAGGGTTTAGGGTTTAGGGTTTAGGACCTTGTCGAGGTGCCCCACAACTCGGTCTTGTGCTGCTGCAGCAGCAGC